CGTGGTAAAGTCGGGGATGGCAGCTGTAGTTAGGTTAAAATGTAACACCTTACCACTTGATCTCCCTTTTAACCCACTGTAAAATTCTGTCCGTTTTTAACAGCTTCTGCTTTCTTTTCGATTGATGACTTTCTATGTTTTGTTTAGTCATCATTATTGGTGTGTTTGTTTGCCTCCTTTTTGCGCCATGGATTATTCTCTGAATATGAAATCCAGGCTAGGTAGATCTATAGAGCCAGTAGAAATGGACTGATAATTGCCTAGGGACATGGTAGGGGAGGGCAGTGGAGAGAATGGAGAGTTAACTTCAATGAGTCCAAGGAGAAACTGTTCTGAACTTGATTGTGGTGATGATTATGTAACTCTTTTTGATATAACTGAACAATTAAACGATATGATCTGTGAAACGTATGCCAATTAAACGACGGAAGAAAATAAGTACATTTATGGGGATAATATGACAATATTTAGGATTGTGGCTGTCCCATTACAATACATGAACTATCAAGTCAACATGTGTTCCCCTCCTCTCCTCCACTTTCAATCACTCTCTGGTGGTCATATCACAGGGAAGTCAAATTCATTGGACCTTTTTCAGAGGTGATTGCTTTCTCTGCATGAGAGCACACACGGAAAATGTGTCTGGCTTGAAAAAGAGAAGACTCATCATTTCAATCCTTGTAAACGTAAAAAAAACCATCAGTGTGATTTTATCTCAAACCCCAGAGCATTTCAAATAAGACAGAACATTCCGTGTCTTGCTGAAGCATTTGCTTTTTTTTTTTTTTAAACACATGATGTGGATGAAGGGTTACAGCAAAATCAGTTTTCCAACTGAGAAACAACAAAGCCCACATGGAAGAAGCACACCAGCCTGTAAGATGACAAGGCGGCGAAGGGGTCAGGTATCAGGCATCAAAGACCAAAACAAAAAAATCATAACATTCTGAAGGACGGGAGTGCAGAATGGGGACCCAGGGCCCATCCGGGGGAAATTGGACTTCCCCTTGCAGAATTGCTGCGGGGAGGAGAGGAGCAAATCGGGGTGCAGTGTAGCAACGATGAAATATGCAATTTTCCTCTAGTTCTTAAATGCTTCCTCTACCCCACTACCATGATCCCAATTCTACCTTACATGTCCAGCTGGACTGGAGTAGGGGTGCACTGGCACAGATAGGAACTGGAAATACATTGAACCCAGGACAGATGAACCCCCTGGGACCAGTGGAGAGAGTGGTGATGGCGGGAGGGTGGAGGGAAGGAGAGGGAGAAAGGGGGAACAGAGGACAAGGTCTACATGTGGCCTCCTCCCTGGGGGACGGACAGCGGAGAAGTTGAGAACTGAGCCAAAGGGGTAAGGGGCAAAGTCTCAGGGGCTCCCCCAATTTCTATCTGACCAATAAGTCTGGTCTCTTTTATGATTTTGAGTTATGTTCCACACTTTCTCCCACTCTATCTAACACCTTCTAATGTGATGTCTTTCAGAGCACTCAGTAGCAGTAGCCTGGCACCGTCTAGTTTTTCTGGTCTCATGGTTATGGAAGTTGAATTTTGCTCTGTCCACTAGTCTTTTTTGTTGTTTTATGCCACCAGGGTTCTTTATTTATTGTACAGTAGTAACTCTTTTTTAAAAAATAGTCATTTTATTAGGGGCTCATACAACTCATCACAATCTGTACATACGTCATCAGTGTCCAGCACTTTAGTACATATGTTGACTTCATCATT